GGCGGGGGGGGGGGGCTTCCCTTGTTGCCACCTGGTGCCTTAGGGTGTGCACTGTCATCCTGTCTGTGGTTTCCAGCCTGAGGAAGTGCACGCGTTTCCAGAGGAGGAATTCTCCCACCAGACCTTTCCCACAAAATGTACAAACGTCAATTTGGCTGGATTTAAATGTCCCGCGGAATCTTACCAGTGTTTTTATTTTCTGCAGACTCTGCTTTTTAAATTGTAGGTTTCATTTCCTTCACTATTTAACCTTATAGCGTGTAAAAGGAAATTGAAGGATAGATTTCTTACCGGAATTTGCCGGTAAAACCTACTTCTTAAATACCTATATGTTCCTGAACATATTTTTTTTTACAAAATGAATAGACTTTAGTTTAGAATATTTTTAGATTTACAGAAACTAAGCAGTGGTACAGTGTTTCCATATACCCGGTTTCCTTATTAATGTCTTGCGTTGGTGATGTGTGTGTTACCACAAATGGGCCATCATTGTTAACCAAACCCGATGGTTGCAGTCTCACTGATGTTGGGCAGACCCTGCACTGTGACGAATGCTTGTCACCATTTATCTCCCACTGCAGCACCATGCAGAATCCGAGGCCCTAAAACTCCCTGGAGCTTCTCCCAGTCGCCCTGTCTGCCAGCCCAGACGCCCGGCACCACTGACCTTTCTAGCACACTCGTGGGTGCGCATCCTCCACTGGCTACTTTGTGACATAAATTTCCTATTTCCCCAAAGCAAGATGGCTCAGTAACAGCTCAGAATGTGTACAAACTGCATCTGTTTCCTTACCACACCATCATTTGAAGCCTAAAATTTGGAAAGAAGGTTGCATTTTAATAAAGCATTTGACCCACCTACTCTCTACTCAACACCCAGATTTGTTATGTTTAATATTTTTGAAAATGTAAATATACAGTCATATAACATAAACTTATCATGTCCAGTTTTTAAAAAGTGTTTTAGGATCCTTGGTTTTACCTGTTAATTCACCTTTGTCCAGAGACAGTTTTGGTGCCATGTATGTCCCCTTGTGGTTATTTATAGCTGAGCATTAAGAACTTAGCCTTCCGAGGCAGATTGCAAAAAATATATATCTATATCTAAATATAGATATAGATATATTTTATATTTCTCCTGTCTAAATCATGAGCAAAACGTTTTGCAAACTTAAATTGCTGTAGAAATATCACTTTAATATAATAGCATGCCTGTTAAATTATATACGTTGCCCCGATCCATCTCTACATTTTCCCGGAGAAAAGCTGACCTTGGTGGAGTCCAAGCAAATACCAGTCATCCTTCCGCATACGCCCCATAGGCAGGAAGCAGCCATAACAAAATGACAGCAGGAGGTAAAGAAGGAAGGGCAGGGGAAACTCCCTCCTGAGATTCCGTGACTCGTGACTCGTGACTCGCAGTGCATGCCCTGTCTTCCCTGCTACATTTCTCACTGTTAATCTCTCTTTAGTGTTTCCTTCTTCACCTCTTACAGGCTGCTGTCTTCAACCTCCTCTCCTCCCTTGCTAGTTCAAACTGTAACTGACGATGGGTTTTCTCCTCGACTGGCTTCATTTTTGCTGTTCTTCCAGGAGAAAAATCTATTACCTGCCGCGCCGGTACAAGTTCATGAGCAGGTCAGTAGCATGCTCTGGAACGACAGGATGTGTTTGTCTGCTGGTCTGTGTACTCCGACGATGGCAAGGGGCCCCAAGCCCAGGAAGATGTCGGGTGACGTCTTCCCCTGCAGTTCCAAAAGTAGCTGTTTCGGGTTAGCCAGGGAGGAAACCGGCAAAGATGAAACCATTCCAGTTTTGCCTGTGACTCCTCCAAACTCGGGAGGGGGCAGTTCATCTGCAGGTGTATGTGAGCAGGTGTTTCTACTAGATAAATTCCCCAGATCCTGGCTGTTCAGAGTGTCTTTGGCCTGGAAATGATTGTTTTCCACACAGATTCCTTCCATTATATGTAATTTGAAAACTTAAAGTGCAGAGCCAATGGCTACTTGCCCCCTCCTGGGTTGGTAACATTTTTTCAAAAACTAGACAGATAATCCAGGTGTGGTACCGCACTCCTGTGATCTCAGCACTCTAGAAGGCTGAGACAGGAGGATCACAATTTAGAGCCTAGCCTGGCAATTGAGCAACTTAGAGAGACCCTGTCTCAAAATTAAAAAAAAATGTTTTAAAGTTCTGGGCATGTACCTCGGTGTAAAAGCCCTGAGTTCAATCCCCAGTACTACAAAAAAAAAAATAAATAAACAAAATATGTAGGTATAGACCTTTATTAAAGAGCTTTGCCAACCTTCATTTAAAAAAAGAATAAAAAGCCTCCCTTGATGAAGATTGTATTTACTGTACCTTATGTCTTTCCAAAGCTTGTTTTTCCTTGTTTTATGAGATGCCAAGGAACAAGGGAACACATTGATGGTGCCCTCAATTGGATTCTGTTGTGGTCATTGGTGAAGCTAATTTCAAAATCTCAGTGGGTCTTAGAGTCCATTCACCTTGAGCTGAGTTGATGGTTAAACTGGGAATCCACACAGCTTCTCTGAAAACCCTACAACTACTTCAGTTCTGTGAGATTTAGGATTCAGGTTCCATTTCTCTGCTCTGCAGGGTGCTAGGTAAGAGCGTAATTGATATCTTTTGGTAAATTTCCTTAAGGTCACATGGTCAGAGAATGGTAAGAACAAAGCATGTGAGAGAATAAACATCCAGAAAGAGTAAGTTTCCCGGGATGCCTGGGCGCTTACCTGGGCAGTAGTGGGACCGGCGTTTCTTTCAGCAGTAGATGTGACTGGTACTCGCGACATAGGTCAGTCCTGTGTCCCGCTGCAGACTTCTGGGGCAGCCTGGTGAGACACATTAGCCCGTCACAGTCCTCAGACCTCAGCCACAGCAGCAAGAGGTGGGACCCCCGAATTCCTGAGTCAGAAATTGTAGTGGGGCGGGAGCGTCTTCATTTCTATCAGGTTCCTGCCTGAGGCTGAGGCCGCTTGTCCTGGGACCAGATTGGGAGGTCATCCTCTACCGTCCCAGTAAATTAAGGATTTGGCTAAGTATAGATAGAGGAAGTGGAAACTGGAGTCCAGTGGAACCAGGACGAGACACAAGTGAAGTTTCCTTCCAGTCCTGGTGGAACCATGGAAATACTGAGTCTGTACGTGGTACTGCATCAGCCCCTCGGATGAAGCGTGTTCCCCATTCTGAAAGGATGGGAGTGTGGCCATCACCCTTGTCCACCTTAGCCAGGCGGCTGCTGTCTCTGTAAAGCTAGCACATGTGGGACAGCTCTGCTTATCCTTCGGGATCGTGAGACGATTCGGTACTATATGGCTTTGAGCAAGCCACCCGGATTTCTGAGCCCGTGTCCACATTTATAAAATGAAGACAGTGATTTCCACACTGTGAGGTCAGTGTGAGGTTCAGCACCTGGCAGGGAGCAGATGTCCATACTCGGCCTCTTAGTGAGCAGCGTACGGAGCAGCCCAGCAGCCCAACATCTTGTGCCTGCCTCCTGTTCCCAGCTGCTGTCACCCTTCTCCTGCCTCCTTCCTCCTCTCCTCTAGTGAACGGTCCCCCAAGTCTTTGGCAAGTTCTGATTTTCCGCCCCGAATGGTCATTTCTAGTCCACTGAATTCCAGACAGTCTCCGTGTAATCTCCCCGCTGCACCCTGTTTGCACAGTCATGCAGTTAAAACCTTCCCCCTCCTCTGAGCCCTCTTCTCGAGCCCGTGGGTGCCGCCCCTGAGAATTTCCAGGCCCCTCGGTGCTCTGTCCCACCGCCGCTGCCTTCACCGAGCTCTCTTCACCTTTGCCTGTGTGGTATCCGTTTACCCTCCGAACGCTCTTCTCATCGTCTTCCGAAGTGGCAAATGCGCTCACGTGGTGGCCACCACACAGTGATCAAAATAAAGCTGGCGCTCCAGCGCAGACATACCCCTTTCTGAACTCACCTCACCCATCTCTCGCAGCCACCACTCTGCTCCTTTTGCGTTGAGCAACTCGTGGTTGCCAGACACACTGCTCGGATAGTTTTCCGTGTCTCTGTACACGTGGTCTTTCCAGACGCTGCTTTCCTGACCTCTGCAGCTGACGTCCATCCGGTCCTTAAAACCCAGCCCACAGGGTTGAGCTCTGGGACCAGGGGAGGTGATGTCTCTTTTCTCTTCTCCCTTTGGCCCCACCACCCTGTGCTGTCTCTGGTGTGGCTGTCCCCTGTCCTACCTGGATGGCATTTGAGGTTAAGGGTGACACGTTCACCTCTTTTGTTTTCAGAATGGTAGGTGGTGTGAATGAACTTAAGAAAATCCAAACATGTGCCTGAGAATTGGACTGGGAGAAAGGAGTCACAGAGGAAAGAAACACGGAAAAGCCATGTGTGTCCAAAGTGTCAGACACAAACTTGGAGCAGAAACACGGGCTCGAACAATGAAGGAAGAATAGCCAGTGAGGGCTTGAAAGAAAGCAGCGTGATAAAAGGTCGATGCTGTACGGTCCGCCAGGCCTCGTTTGGGTACCTGGAGGTAGAGACTGCGGGCAGTTCTGAGGGTTAGAAAGCTCTTCCTGTCTTTCACGTTTCTATCCTTTGACTATAGCTCTGCCTCCTAGACAGACAGAAATAATCAACCGACGGGGGAACAGTGTGTGGCAGAGACTGTGCAGTTCCAGCAAAAGTGCTCAGCATTTAGCAAGAACTTGGAAATTTCGGAGCGGAGAAGAAAGGTTTTCACGTCCATGGGCTCAAGAAAACATTGTGGGAGGAAAACAAAGAATAGAAACCCAGTGGAGATACAGGTGTGGTGCAGAAGCTGGCGATGTTTCTTTTGTTAATGCTGCGTTATAACTCACGGCGGGGTTTTGAGGACCTGGTGTTCTGGAGGCCTTTAGATTTGACAGCAAAGCGGGTGAAGGGAGAAGTAAAGCTAGAGAATCCCATGTGGAAGTGAGAGGCATACAAGACGGGACTGTAGCCAGGGTTGAACGTGGGATTTCCCAGGAAAGGGCGCAACTAGTGAAGAGGGCCTGTGGCAACTCCTTGGCAATTGTTGTTGTTGTTGTTGTTATTTTTTTTGTTTTTGCTACCGGGGAATGAGCTCCGGCCCTTGTGTTGGCGAGGCCGTCGGCAGAACCACTGAGCCCAATCCCCGGCCCTTCCTTAGAAAATTTCCAGTAAGGAGAACAGAGGGCACAGGAGGAAGATAAAGAGGAACAATTTGAAACCAGAAGGATGAAAGGGGGTCAGTGTCAAAAAGGCACCAGGAATGAGTTTGCATGAGGAGGGCTGTCCTGCAGGTTTAGGCAAACAGTGGAAGCTGAGAATCTATTTGAGATATTTAGAAGTCATCCGTAACCTTCATGATAGCAGTCTGCATGGTTCTCAAGTGTGCATCGTGGTCATTTATTTATTTAGAGGCTCACACGCCAGACAGGCTACCTACCACTGAGCTCTGCTGCGGCCCCGGAGAGGTTTCTGATGCACAGATCACAAGACCAGGTTTGGGAGTTTTTGCTCAGTAGATCTCAAGCGCAGTTGACCGGTTGCATTCCGACAGACTCTACAATTCCAGTCAACGCTGAGGGAGCAGCCCCAGGGACACATTTGGAGAAGCGTAACCATGCAGCGGAGGGGACTGGCAGCCTCGTCCGGGCTGGTGCAGGAAGCACGGGTCTGGAGAACGGTGAACGGGGAGGGCTCACCACAACCTCGCTGTGCTTGCTGGGAGAGAGGAGGGAGAAGCGGGTCAGGATTCCTAGCACCAGACAAAAAGAGGGACGCGTGGGACGCTGAACCACGACACTCGCGCGATCTCCATGTAGGCAGAGATGTTCAGGGAGACTAAGAGCCAGGCAGAACCCTGTGTCTGGAGCAGGAAGAACCGCCTGCTAAGCACTAACATTTGCCTGGAAAGAAACAGATGCTCATTCCAGGCCGTCACGGTCACGGAAGCATTTAGACACGGAAGACGCCGGGACAGTGTGGGCGAAAGCGGGGAAAGGGTTGTCTCCGTGGTACATCGATTCCACACGGCCTCTTCACACAGGCTGTGCTGCTTCCCGCGGAGCCTTACGTTTTGCCTCGACCCCTGAAGCTGGGCGTGTGCTGCGAATTTTAAATGCAGTCAACGGCAGATTTATTCCCCATTTCAACTCTGTTGCAACCCAAAACAGACAGGCTGAGCTGATCAAGGGCGTCGTCTTTTTGCAGGCGTCTCTGACATCCCAAGGTGACGGGCTCCTCTACAACTTGTGGTCCTGACATCCCCCAGTGAGGACACGTGGATTTCCAGATCCAGAAGCTCCCCTTTGCTGCTGAACATGGACCTTAAGTTTAGTTTTCAGTTTCATATACATAAATGATGTATAATTTCATTGGTCCGTGAAGGCATCCCCAGAACAAACCCATCTCCTTCAAAGAGAAGCTAAAAATTCCAAAGTTTTTGAGCAGACAGTGAAATAAGGTATCTTTTGAACAATATCTTTATTTCAAAAAGTCGCCTGAGTCTCATAAAGCACACTCTCATGTATTTTTTTAAAAGCAAATTCTCTTTTTATCCGTGTGCTTGGTCTTTTAAACACTGCTGACTCTTATCTTTAGCAGGCTTAACGACATTATAAATTACCTATCCAGTAAG